ACATCCCAGATTTCTCTGTCATCTGTCAGCCACTCTTCTAAATCTTGGCAGCAATGTCTTCCTGAATGCAGGAGACTCAAAATTCCCACCAAGAATTTCAAGTGATGGTGGTGGTTTCTTTTTCCTTCAGTGGCTTTTGGAAAATGTTGGTTTTGAAAAAGAGGGGGGAAAGCTTGATGAATTATAGCACTGGTATCCTTGCTTTGAATAGGTCTCTAGTCTGCGGCAACCTAATAATTTGCATTATTTTCTGGAGAAAATTATCCTACTAAGCCTTCTGTCACACAAAGGAGCTTTTCCAGTCAGAGAAGTAGAGTTGGCATTTAGGTGACCTAAATGATCAGTGATAATCCATCAGTCTACCCAAAGGGAAAAAAAAAATATTCTTGTCATCATCACCCTAAAATTAAAGAGAAAATTCTAAATTTGGGTAGTGTAAAAATAATGACCTTTTTTGGGAAAACCGAAAATCTGCATTATATGCATTATATATTGGGTGTGTTGGGGAGCAGGGTTGTGTGGGTGTTTGTGATTTTCTGTGGGGGTGGGAGGTATTTCTGTATGCTGCTTCTCTGATCATTTTTCACGTTCCATGATCCCAAAAGGTTTTAAGACTGAAGCAAAAAATACAGATAACTAAATACATCCATCCTGTAGACTGTTGATGTCTTAATTTTTTATTGAAGAGAGGACCTCCAGATGTGCTGGAAATGTGCATTACTGTATTCAGGAGAAAATCAATGCAATGTGCTTTATGTGACACTATGTGCAACGTGACTTTCATATTGTTTCTTTTCTTGAATACAGTCATTATAACATTTAGATCTTAGACTGGTTTTTCCTCTGTCTGCATTCTTAGTGCATGGAATAGGTGAAATGAAAACAAGACTGACCTCAAACCTTTCACTTTCCTTTTTCTTTCTCCTTCTGAAATAAAAGGTTAAGTAAGCTGGATATCAGGGGGAAATACTTTTTCCCTTTTTTTTATTTTTACTGAGCTATTGAAGTAATTGGAAAGATGCAGTTTTTTCCAAAGACAGAAGACAAAACCTCAGATTGAATAATAAATCACATATAAGAGAAAAATAAAATAAATGCTATATCAAATCTGTCTAAAAATGTCCACAAAATTGAACACTGTAGAGACAGCTGAGTGTGGAGAAAAGATTGAACAACTTGTAGCCACCATTTATCAAAGAATGTAATTTAACAATTGTTGGCATACAAAAAGCAAGAAGTCAGAAAGATATATCACAGAAAATAAAGCACAATATATTATTGATATTTGAGAGCAAGGGTATATTAGGGGTTTTGAAATTTGAATCTAGCTTTTTATGTTCAGGCAGTGATTTTTAAAAAACGTTGTTTCAGCGGCACAGCTACAACTGAATTGCTTTTCTGATTTGAAAATGCCCTAAAAGCCTTAGTTCTGTGAAAATTAACTGCCACGACTGAGCACCTGGCACGGTTGTCCTCTCCTTTCTGGATCTCTCATAGTGGACTCCCCTGAGATCTCTGACCTTGACTTCTTGCTGTTCTGTGATTCCCCTCGCCCTACAGACCTTTCCAACCTTTTTGTTTTACATATCCCGTGACCAGAAGAGCCTTCAGAAAGTACAGTGCTGTTTGATCTTGATAGAGAAAGTAGAAGAGATTTATTTCTCAGCCTTACCTAGAAATCCAGTAGCTCTGTCATGCCTTTCAACTCAACTTCTGAAAATACGGTCTTTCTTCCCACTTTGTCTTTCTTTCTTCTCCGGTCTTTAAAATTTTCCTTGAATTCCAACGAAGGTCATTGTTCACACTTTTCTGTAGTATGCCTCCCTGTCCAGAATCAATTTCCTAAGAAAGACAAGACAGAGCAACTAAGGAGAAAAACACCCTTATAAATGGTTTTTACAGAAATCCCTGAACATACAGAAGTACCAGAAGTCATTGCCCTTCCTTTTTATCAGTTTGCTGATTGTCTTGTTCATTTAGCCAAATAAAGCATGTGCCAGCCATATACAGCAAATCCTAGTTTTTAGGTTACATTGTACCCCAAAATGGCCAGTCCTAAACCATTTTACTTGTGTTACAGAAATTTCAGATCAATGTCCTATGAGTGTACTAGCTTGAGGAGAGACTCACTGCCTTGAAGACTTTGTCTCTTTAATCAGCAGACAAGGAGGTCTAGGTGGGGGAAAAGAGAATGTGTTATGTGAAATGCAGAGAAATCAACTGCCTTGCTGAAGACTTAGAGCAAAAGTGGGTCCTTTGACTGTAACATTATTTGTTAAAACCCACAGGTCTTTTGTCACTGATTTTAGTGGCATAAAAAGCTGAGTTATCCCACATCTGGTGCTCTAACCAAGATCTCACCTTCCCTCTGCTAAATATCAGTCTTGCTGATGCTCGTTTGAAACATTTATCTATGCCTGTCCTCTATGACTTTTCATCTAATGATGATAAGTAGATAAAAATTTTCAAACATAATGGGTATAGCTGAAAGTTGTATTCTCTTTACACAGAATGGCAAGGAGAGTAAAGAGAGAAGAGAGTTGTGGGTTTTTTTTTCCCTCTGGAAAGAGAAATACCTACCTCAGTGATACCAGTGAAAGGGAATTTTCCCTCATGCTAGGTTTCAAAAAGATGGGTTGTTGATGGACACAGCTCCAGCTAGTTGCCTGCAGTAGGCAGAATTATATCTTGAAAGACCATTTTCAGCTAATTTGGCTGTTGTGCCATTTGAACTTTACGAATTGACTTGTAATTGGACCGTGCTGTCAGTGGAAAAACTTACAAGTATCGAACATGACATTTTTAAGAAGGTTACTGTCATCTAGTCCTCTATTAGTGGATTTGCAGGGAGTTATAATTGGCCTAACAAGCCTAGTAACCTGCCCTACTTCCACTTATAATGTACAATCTCATTTATATCTTTTCTTTATTTACTGATACATGATAGGTAATAATGCTCTGTCTAGTGCACACGCTTCAAAATAAAGCTGTCTAATCATAGAATGCATGGATTCTTCTAATATACATGTATATATGTACCCATACACAGATTATATCATTTCCATATGCATATGTGTGTATATTTATTTATTCTGAAGAATTCAAGTACATAAGTATTTTAATGTATAATGTATTTACATATCCACACTCACTCATACATCTTTTTTTATTGAGATTAAGTAAGTATAAAGTCTCCTGTTGCTTTTAAATTTCCTGTAGGGAAGGGGAGATAGTATTTCCTCCAGACCTTTGTTGAGTTTATATGAGTAATCTGAGTAGAAGTGATAATGCATTCACGTGGATGTAATTCTTAGGACTGAAAAAGAAGGGGAAAGTGAGAGAAAATGAACAGGTTGATGAACTCGGTGCATTCATTATCGACTTACATTTGCATGAAGGAGAAACCGTTCACTTCTTGTGAAATTAGAACGGCACCATTAATTTTGTTTACTGCACAAGCAATTTTTAGCATATGTAAGATTTACAGGCAGTTTTGCAGGTGAATGTGTCTGGTTAAATAGCCTTATGGAAAGAGCTCTGCAGGAGCATCTGCACTCATTGCACCTCCCAAAGCAGAGCTGTTTCATGAAGTAATGCTGAGTGTAGACATCATGAGACTGCTTTTTTTGTTTTGTTTTCACTGCCAGGAGAATTATGCCAATTGGGCATGGTGCACCTGGAAGCAAAGGAGGGATCAGTGTAGAAAAAAAATTAATATCTGGAAAACCGACGTTTTTTGTTAAATGTCTCAGTTTTCCAGCAATTTCTTCATATATATGGCAAATTGGCCTTCGCTGCTATGTCTTCTTTTTTGTCTTAGTAAAGACTGATTGGTAAAACAGCAGACCAAAAAAGCCCAAACCAAACCAAAATAAAACAAACGGAACAAAATAAAAAACTAAACAAAACCGAACCAACCAACTAAACAAACTCCTCTAGGTATGAACAAGAGCAGCAAATAGAGCAGATGGGGAATTGGGTCTTTCTCCTTTTCTTTTGTGCCTTTGACTTGTTAATGTAGTTGTCTTACAAGAAGGGCCAGCATGAGAGGAATTACCTTGGGTTTCTTTTCTGAGGTACCTTTTTTTCCTGGAGATGCTCTTGAATGAAAGCCTTTTCAGAGTGCACTTGATAGTTTAGAGAGTTGTGGATAGTACTTTTTTGTGTAGTTTAGCTAACAGAGTGATTCCATTCTAACTTTGGGTCCTGATTATCAACAGCATTATCTATGAGCCTCAGAAAACAGAAAATAATGATTCTATTTATTTTGGTAGTAGGGCAGAGGTTAGTGGAACATTTTAAGCTGTACTCATGTTTTTCTTACCTTGTTGGGCATACACAGTTAATAGCATGAAACTGTGTGATTTCAGGATACTCAGGGAAGGCTTTGGAGTCTCTCCCTTTTTCTCTGAGTTTGAACACTGATCACTGTTCATTAAAATATTGTCTGCCCCTTTTGCTTTGTGTGCTCCATCGGTGCAAGAGCAATCCGAAGATGCAGGCTTCAATGAAGAAAAACAATGATCATATAACAGAGATCATAAATCATTGGAGTGTCTGCAGTTTAACCGATGTTTGTTTGCATTGGTGTTTCAAGAAATAGGAGCAAGGGAATGATGTAAGATTCGGGTACTTCAGAATGCACTTTTGGCCAGGCAAATCATGCTGTAAGTTTTAGAATTCACAAATGTGTGTACATATGTTCTCACCTGCTTGTGATTAATGGTCCACGATTTTTCTGCTTTCCTCGGCATGCTTTTTGAGTGCGTGTTCTGATATATTTTCTAAGTTTTCAACACAGAGTTTCTGACAGAATCATAGATCTGAACTATCTCATAGCACTGCAGTGTCTCCAATAAATAGGTCAAATAATCCTAGAAACTGTGTTTGTTAGCTTTGAATCGATAGTGATAAAGTTTCTCTGTATTCTTACCTGCTCAAACTTCTGTCTAATCTATCTTTGTTCTCTTCTTCTTGTGCAATCTTTTCCTTGCTTCCAGTGGCTGCTACAAAGAACAAAGCTAGAGGTGAGTTTCTGCCTGCGCTCTTCAATTTGTATTGCATGGTTCTGCAGCCCACACATTTCCCACAAGGTTGTTCCTGCCTCTCAAAACAAAGAAAAATATCTTTAGGTCTTATCGGATGATAGATTAGTTCTTTACAATTTTGTAATTGCACCTAAGGGCAGGCTGTTTTCATTGTTTTTATCAATCAGCACTGCTCATGCTGTATTTTGTTCATTGCTTTAATTTAGGAAGTTTTTAGGAGAAAGATAAAACCGAGTGCATTGTAGTTAGATTTCTGGCTTGCATTATAGCAATGCAGGGATATTTATGGCATTTTAATCGAAATGAAGATATTGCATAAAAATGCTCATAAATATGTAAATGTAATTTTTATTTTTTATCTCTAATCATCGTCATAAATATCTGAACAGAGAACAATGAACTCCTAAATGTCTCCTAAGCATTCCCTGTCTCTTCACACCAGTATAAATGATCATCACTGTTTCTGATAGCATACCAGTATAGAGAAAGGCATGCTGTAATACCTACAGAGATTCATGACTTCAGAGCAGCAAGGTGATTGCCACAAATCAGTGTGACAAAGAAATAAACCTTTCAGAACTAATCATGTAAGGTCAGCAGTGCTGTAAACCATTTCCTGAATTTCAACGAAGCAGTGATGTAGCAAATGTAACCTGAGGGATGTATTTTGACTTACATATACATATAAATCCATGCATGCTTGTGTATATATATGCATGACAATGTATTTATATGTATGAACATACATTTTCATAGAAAATCGTGAAAATGTAATTTTTTTCTGTTATTTCTCTCAGATAAAATTGAGTTTTCTGATAATTAAACATCAGGTTTTAAGGCAAATATCTATGCATGTTTACGTGTATTTTGATAGTTAAAAACTCATACTCAGGATGTTTATAAAGTTTAGTTATATACATTGCTTAGCTTAAGATGCGGAACTATAAAGATAATCAGAAAAATCAGCCAACTGATGGTGTTAATGTATTAGTATAATTAAATCAATAATTAAAATACAGCTCAGATTTATTTTTTTTAAACCCTTGCATGGCTTTTTTTCCCTCAGAAACTTTGCACGCATTGAATGTCGTGAGTGAGGGGAGTGAATAAAATTGAGTTCATGTATTCGCCTATGCATGCTTTGAAATTTGCTTTACTCTTTCCTGTACTGTTATATATGTAAAACAATGGGTCAAGACATTAGGACCTTCAGAATTAACAAAAAAAAAAAGAAAAAAAAAAAAGGCAAAACCAAAACACATGCACAGAAGCAAATTTTCAGCACCAATAAGCACGATCTCATCCATATTCAGTGATCATGTACCCAATATATTGCCATTCAAACAGAAACTGCCCTGGAGGCACTGGAGTTATAGAATGAGTCACAATTACTCATGGGCCCCACTCATCTGTGGACATTAACACACCCTTATTTCAGAAGTGCACAGCAATGTTGAATACACAACTGAGGCTATATTTGGTAAACTGGGCTTGACACTGTGATGTGCATTGTCTTTGGAGCTCAGTTGCACAGGGCCTTCAAGAAGTCTTCAGCTCTTCCTTTGGTGCCAAACAGCCCAATGATGAAGGTACCCAATGCCCACAAGGAATTCAGTCCTGCAGTAGTTCTATCTTTTAACCAAAGCATTGGACCTCTTTTATAATCTCCTGTGGTGGAAGACATAAAGTAAATGATGTCTTACTGCTTTTCTTGTTGCTCTGTCTAAGCATTAAAGAACGTTCTGTTCATCCTTTTCAAGTGTCACACTGGCAAACAGGTGCCTAACATGGCATCAGAAACATCAATTCACAACTGAGAGAATTCTCAGGAGTCTCACTTTTGGTACTTATAATATGAAATCCAGCACTCCTTTATGTCTACGATCTTATTTATGGTTCTTCATCTTTCCCTCCTGAAAGTCTGGAATTTGTGCTGCCATTTTCAGCGAGGTGCAGCTGGGGCTCACCCCTGCCCTGAGATCTGAGCTTTTCCTGAGCTCATTAGAAGGTGATAGTCTGTGGGACCAGCTGTCTTTTGTTTGTGCATTGTTAGCACGGGAAAACTGCTGGTCTCCCTCTTCCCTCCCCCTCCTCGTGGGATTGCCTGTAAGGAGAACACTAGAGCCCTTGCTCTCAAACATTGCATTCAGTGCTATTTCCTTTCAAGTATTTTCTCAGACTTTATTGAAGACTGCTTGTATTAAGTGCTGTAAAGCAGTTGTTGAACTCTCTACTTTATCCTTGCTTTGTGGCACTTGGAATCAATTTAGGTTGGAAGGTCATTTGGTCTGCAGGTCATCTAGACCTAACTACTGAATAAGTAAAACCCTCTTAAATCTGATTGCTCAGAGCCTTCCAGTCAAATTGAAGTGTCTCAAGGATTTCACAGCTCCAGGATAGATTCACACAATGATTGCTTTGTTTTACCATGGTTTTCTTTCTTAGACTTTCCCTTACCTAGAAGGAACTGCATGAGATTGTTTTGTGTTCTCCAGAAAGGGTAAATACTTGGATTTTGCATAGAAGGATGGATCTTGCTTTGGACTACTTTGGGCAGGTGCTGCCACAGCACAGTCATGTTTTGGACAGAATACTTGTGACATTTCCAAGAAGTCTAGTTCAGAAAAATTTTAAAGGGTAGGGGCTAAAATGAAACCTGAAAATGGTCATTTATGGCTCTTAATTTGATGAAGCAGAAACTGAAGGTGCCACCTGAAAATCTCAGACTATCAGAATTGTTTCAGTGCATAAATATTTTAAGGACTGTTTCTTAATGCACCAGATGAGATTTGTTTAACTTGATCTCTATAAATGAGCATTTCCTTTAGCAAAGCACCCTTTTGAATATTGCTTGACCCTTTAAGAAGGGCCATTGTGACATTTTGGGGGCAATATTTTTGCAAATATCTTCTGGCAGCAGTTGACAATGGTTTCCAGGCTCTGTGGTCCTACCAGATCTGCTAATGATGTGTCAATTTTCAGTCAGCAAGGGAAAGAGAGGGGCCAAGTGTCTTCATTTGAATGTAATTATTTGAGGACAGGAGTTCTGTGCTCCCCATTTTCATTTCTTTGATACATTCTGTGTCATCTGCTGTTAGAAAGTTATTTCCAGAGCTGCCCTAAACCTCATGTAGTAAGGCACTTGGCTTTATAACCCTTCCAAAGGCAAATTGGAATTTCTGGTGATTTTAGTTGTGGGGGTTGTTGGGTTTTGTGTTTGTTTCATGGCGAGGTTTGGGATTTTTGTTGTTGTTGCATTTGGTTTTTTAGTTTGGTTTGGTTTTTTTAGTTGGGAATAGTGAGGATGAATATGGCAACCTCCTCCTAAAAAAAAAAAGAATGTAAAGGCCAATTGCTGTTGTAACAGGGGAAAACAAGCCCTCCAGAAAGATCACTTATCATGTGCCTGTTGAGAAGGACAACATTCCTTCATGTTCCTAAGATTCCTGAGGCCAACAGATTGGAAATGGTGACATTTCCAAGAAGATTCCGAAGTCCCAAGAGGTGACTGTTTGGGGAAAGATGTAACTGGCTTAACTTTATAGAATTTGTGCTATCCAATCTATATGAAAACGGATTGGATTGGTAGCTGTTTCTGCCGTGCTCCTTTCCCCCATCTTAGCTATGTAGCTCTGTTTTAATTTTTCTCAGTGGGAAATAACCTTCATATCATAGTCCCACTGCTTCTCCTAACAAAGAACTGCTTTTGTACCCATCCAGTCTCTATATACACAACACTGTATTCTCTCTCCACAACTGGTTTCTAGAGGAAGTCCTATTGATGGGAGATATCTTCAAACTTTTCTTCTATTTTAATATTACACTTTTAAGTACATTAAGTGCCTTTACCTCTATTTCACTTGCTTCACAAGTTTAATATCAACAGTACTATTTTTTTAGCCAGTTGAATATCCAGGAGATTTTTGAGATGCCTCTTTTTCTTGACTTGTACTACACCCATATCTCAGAGAAATTGTCTTTTGTCTTTGAGTTCCAGGGTTAAACATTTTTCTCTTTCAGTCAGTTCCTCTACAAATGCAGAGGTGTGTTGTTTCTGCCTTACATTTAAAAGAGGAGACTGATTTAAACTCCTTCTTTAAATCTAAGATTAAATTTAGCTTTAACAATGCTACTTAAAACATACATCTCAGTCTCTAAGATAAATCATCGTAGCAGTTGATACACTGTCTAAATGCATCTTATCCAGGAGGCAAAGATCACTCTGGACTTTATTCACTTGATTTATTTTGTTTGTTCTTATTATGTCAATGAAATTGGTATCAGCTTATTTGAAGTTTAAATCAGGAGGGATCATGTGAAGGATGTTGTGCAAATATACTCTGTTATTGCCTGAGTAGTTGTGCAATGACTCATTTTATCTTTTAGTTGGGAATCAATTTGTTTCTCTGGACTTCATCAGGTTTCCATCAATGGTCGTGTCCTACCCAACCATCTCTTAGATTTTCTTACAGCATATGGTAAAGTTTATTGTGTTGCTCTACATAAGCATTTGTAAATAATGTTGGTAAAGAATAGGTTTCATGAATTCCACTGTTTGGGCATAAAACCATATAAACCAAGATAAATTGTGTTGACCAGAATTAATTAACACAGTTGGAAGACCTACAGGGTCTAAACCCACCACTTTAGGTCCTTTCTTCAGAACATGTAATTAGACAAGCACATGTCTCATTCAAGGTAAAATTACCATAAAGTCAAGCAAGTAACACAGAGCAGCATCTGTCCATGTTAGGAACAGGAGGAGATAAATGTACACGGAGGAGACACAAACACTGCTATTTGTCTTATTTGCACTATCTTCACAAATTCCTGAGCTATTCAGTTATTGACATCAGTCAGGCATTAGCTCTGCTGTTGCAGAGTTTTCTTTATTGAGGGATGGATAACTCAGGGTATCATATGGCTGCAACATTATGGCAAAAATTAAAAACTAGTGGAAGTGTATAGATTTTGAAAGC